ATGAAATATGGATAATTCGATAGGTGTACAGCAACAAACACATCGTATACGGCATAGCAAGGAGCGTTTAGTAGGGAAACACAAACAGTATGCTATACATACACAAAAATACATTGAAACTGATTCATATCATCATTGCGGCGTACATTTCTATGTTAAAGGCAAAGATGTGTCGGTTTTAGTTGTTGTCGTTGCTGTTTATTTTTCTACTTTCTTGAATAGAAAATGAAATATAGACAAATGTAGGATTTAAAGGAAAAAGTAATGATAGATCATCAAGAATGCAATAGCATGAAAGCAGTACGGACGATTCAATTGATGCGTATGCATATGGTTTGTGTGTGCGGTGCAGCGTTGAACAACATAAAGCGATTCTCTCTCACTCTTTCTCTAGGTATTTCCTTTTTGCATTTTTGCGTCTCTTTTTCTGCCGTTACTGAAATTTTATGATCTGTTTCTGCTGTTGCTATTACTGCTGCTCTGCAGTCAAATGCACCAACACACACACATACCTACACACGAGTGTGTGATGCGAAAGAGCAAAAATTCACTTTGTGCCGATTGTCGCCATCGTTCTGGTAAGTTTCTCTGTGCACTTCTCTCTCTCTCTCTCTCTCTTTGATGAGAGCACATACTACAATAGCGAGAGAGCAAACGAGACAGAGTGCGTTGCACAGAGCGTCGATCCGAACCAAGTCGAACCTCAAGCAAGACCTGAGTGTGCGGCAAAACGTTTTGTTATTCTATACTTTTGTTCCTTTCCTTCAATTTATGGCATCTAGAATAGTTTCAACCATCCTATCTTGCCTTTTCATGCATAAAACCAACTATATACATACACATAACTCATTTCACATCTTCTCGCTTGTGTGTACAAAGTGTTCATTTCCTTTTCGATCGTATATATTTAACGTTACGTATATTTTCTGGGTATTTTCGACAAACATTTTATGGTTTCGTCGTCTTCGTTGTCGTCGTCGACGACGACTGACTGACGGAAATCCTGAACAGAAAAAAGAATATATATATGACACATGCATGCATCTCAATGAAGTAGATCGAAATCAGTATTCACGAATCTTCTCCAGCAAATGACGAAAAATTACACAAAAACTAATTTCCAAATTTATCCATTACGATGCGAAGCGTTCTATGTTTTGTGCTGTTGTTGCTAGTCGACGTTTGTTTTGTGTTCAAATGCACTAACTGTGTGTATGAGAACGTGACAAAGTGAAACACACACACAGAACGATGACGACAAAACACGACGGGGATGGAAAATTTTTTGATACGCAATTTCAGTGAATGCGATACTTTTGTTTATACAGACGGTAATAATGTAAACATGATAAAAATCGAAAAGTCGTATGACTTTAGGCAATGTCGATTTTTGCCGTGGCCCACAACAACAGAAGAGAAAAAAAGAAACAAAACGGTTTCGTTCCATTTGATTTTTGTATTTCTCTCACACTCATTGATTACAACGGCTGAAAGAACGGCTTGATGTCGAATTGACACAAGAAAACACACACGCTTAACAGGGCAAGCGGCAAATTCAATTTATATGTAAAAAAAGGAATATATACATATAAAAAGGGTTCTACTTACCAGAATTTGGTGTATAGTTGGTTTAATGAACGGAAACAACTTGTCTTGTTGCTGCCGAATGCGATCGAATGACAAACAAATCCGTATAACTGCTGTTGTGCTAATTGATTTCCGATGTGATGTGGTTGTTGTTGTCACAGTGAATTCAATTTTTTTCGGGCTGTGTAGAATAAAAGCCGCCGTTCGATAGTTGCAGGAAAAAAATCAAAATCTGTTTTTTTTACGATCGACGTTTGTTCAACTCAAAAATGTGGTCGCGCGCGACAGTTGAAAGACTTTCACTTTTTATTCCGCAAAAAATTTAAATTGATCAAATATCCGTTAATTCTTTGTTGTTGTTGTTGTTGTTTGAATATTCATATGGACTATTGGCGTGGCACGTTGTTATTTCGAGTCGCAATTTTAGCTGTTTCTCTTTGCGTTTTACATTGATAAACCAAAAACAACAAAATCGAGAGCAGTTACGATCTGCGCAATCTCCAGCATATGATTATTCACGTATCGCACACTTACTTTATTTCGTTGTTGTTTTTAACTCTTTTTTATTTTAATATCGGTCGATGTTGGGTTCTCTTCGTAGATTTTGTGAATGCGTTTTATTTTTTCTGTTCGATGCAAACTCGGTGAATTTTGTTTACAAACGCTATATTTCCTTGTTCCTTACGAAATCCGTAGATCATTCCACTTGAGTAATTCGAGACGAAATTGAACAACAGCTGGCGATTTTGAATCGATAGCCTAGGTTTTTATTCACAATCAATTCGTGTTGGTTGACACACAGACGGATCAGTCGATTTTTTTTGAAAAACGTTTCTTCTGACGTGAAATTTCTTTTATGACGCCGAAATATTTGATACACTCACAACAAAATTTGCAAACATATGGTTATACACATGGATTTGAATCTCTTCTAACCACCGAATAAATTATATTCGTTTGAAACTAACGTAGTCAAAAACTCAAAACTGATGCACACTTTGATATTTTCCTTGCTTTTTCTTTCAGAAAAAAAAAATGAAACTTCTTCAAATGTGTTTGCCTTATTTTACAAACAATTCAAACAAACAGTTAAATAAAACACGGTTAAAACAAACAGAAAAAAAACATTAAAATTATAACAAAAATAAACGAAACAGTGTCTTTAAAATTAATAAATTAAAATAAATTTGACAACGGTCCGAATGCTGCGGCGAAATTTGTTCGGTTTTTTTCTCGAGAGAGAGTGCATGCGGCAACTCGAATGATTCAACTGAAAATATGAACACGATTCGACACTTTTAATTTCCGTTGGTGTAATATTAATCTGTTGACTCGGTGTTATAGAGTGTTCGTGTGTTGCTGAAACGCTTGAACTTTTTTTCTCGTTTTTTTCTACTTCTTCGCTTCTTTGTCGAGACAATACGGAAGAATTGTCCGTTGATTTTTCTCTTTATTGCCGAAGTGAGGTTGAATAATCAAATTTCTTATGTCTCACTTTTGTGCAGTGAGTTCGACTTACGAATGCACTACCAGAAATGATGTGGTATGGTTTGCTAGTGAGAGACTTCAACCGAAATTCCGTCTCTGTGCTGCTCTGTTATGGCTTATGCGATCGTTATTGTGTATATTAATATAATAATTTTTTGTTGTATGCGGTGTTAGTGTGTGTGTGTGTGTGTACGCGCTCTTCTGTGCTTCAAATCATATGCCAACACATACGCAGATAGCGTCGTTCGTTTTATTTGTTTAAACAAAACAACACAATTTATGTAAAGAAATGTGCGGGTTTTCGATGCGAGTTCCTTACAAGCAATAAAGCCACTATGGCGGTCGACAACAACTAGTCAAAATACGTTTTTATTATTATACGTACACACGGTATTGCGCGCCGTCACAAATACCATCGTACACACACATCCAGTGGCTCACACAAAGACAGAGACATACAAGCGAGCAACAGAATGTTGTGTCGTTGAATATGTAGTATAAGCAAAGACATATACATAGTGAGTTCTGGCATGCACGAACGAACAAATTCGCCGTATAGCCACACCAATACAAAATTAACTAGAAGCCAACAAGACGCGCGTTGTTTCTTCTCTTCCTTTTCGTCATCATCTTCGTCGTTGTCGTATTCCTTTTGGAAACACGTACACACACACATCGAGTGAGACGAAGAAAAAAGCGACAACAAATACCAGCGCAACAGTGCCGTATATGAATTATGGTACAGCTGGTACTGATTTCAATGTAGTTTGGTTTGAATCATGTTTTTTTCGCATAGACAGCACCAGCATTATTTGACTTGAACGCGAGCGTGATGTGCTTTATTTTTCTTTCGTTCGTTTCTTTCTTTCATTCGTTTTGAAGTCATGGAGGTCTATTGTATGTGAACGACCAAGCTAACAAATACTCGCATGGAAATCGGCGTTTGGAACATACATACGCATCAAACCTCACTGAAACGTATATATGCGGTATATGAAAAGAAGAATAAATACGAACGTTTCGCGCTTTGAGTCTCTGTGCTCACATATGATATCCGTACCAATACAACCACACAGCACATGCCATTGCATACAACATACCAACCAGCATAAAATCGTGTATTACACGACATTAAAACCAACAATACCGAGCGGCTTCTTCGGTGTTGCAAGTTGTGTATCGACAACAAGAGAGCATTTTTCTCATTGTATCGATCGTTGTTGGCGGCGAAGAAGCAAATGACAAAAGAGATAGACATGTGCTCTTCGTCAAAGCTAGCAAACTTCAAAATGCGCCAGAGGCGCAAAGAGTGAGCGGTGACAGTTGTCGGCTCTTTGTATGTGCACATTGCACATATACACGACGAACCAGCTCGCTTGTTCCACAAGACAGCTGTCTCTTTGCGCGCTGACTAAATTCAACATGTGCTGAATAGAGTATACACGATAAATGATGTGTATAATGAAACACTGTATCCTCCACGGTTTGGGTTATGGTTTGTTTTTAGTATTGCTCGATGTAAATTCCTGATTCGTCGGTTTGATTTTTATTTTTGTTGAAGTGTTTTTTTTTTTCGTTTCGTTGTTTTGACATTTCAATTAACTGCATCATATGTTTTTCGTCGAACAATCAATGTATAAACACAATTTGAATACATTTTTTGGTTGACCATTGCAAATGAATGGTGGCTGAAACTCAGAATTTTTTTTTGCAAATCGGACAAGGTCCATTTTTGCAAATTATTATTTGTAATTCGTTGAGAAATATGGTGAAAATGATGTAAAATATGAATAAATTAAAATTTTCTGATTTTTTCCGCAAATTCGCTTACAAAAATATTTTGCAAGCTTCAATTTAATCGCTTCAGCATTGAAAGCAAATGCTGTCACTGGATTGTGAAATCAAAAACTAACTACACCACTTACCTGGAACAGTTCCAAAAACCATTTTCGAAAGTTGTCCGGTGTTTCGGCCAGAATCAGTTTAAACATCTCCTCTGCCATTTCGAGTACTTTTTGCACAAGTTGCTCTTCCTTCGTCACACTCAATGGTCCAAGTCGTCACTGTTTCACAAATTCATCCACAACACTACACAAATGCAACACAACGAACAATGCTTATCCTTAAAATCCATCAATGGTCTATTCGATTTTCTTTATCAAATTTTGTTTGTCCACGAATGAAATCCGAACCTTTTGTGTATTTATGTTTTAGTCACTTTGAAACATTGAGTGTTCGTACAGAAATGTCAAATTCACATCATTGAATGCCAAATATGCGTGAAGTTGGCTGCATTTCATGCCGTAAGTGTCTGTGTGTTACTGCGCTGAATAATATTTGGCGCGTAAAGTGACAGCTCTCTGGTGCATACAACAAATTCCGATACAGACCATGACCGTACGCAATATTCGAATTGGAACTGGTTAATGATGGGAACAGAAAAAAAAGAGAGAAAAAATAACAAAGAAGAGATGCAAATCGCTATGGTTTTTTGATTTCATTTCGTTTTCCTTTGAAAAGTGGTTTTATTTTATGTTAAAAATTTACATAATTTGATAAATGTTGAAATTTTGAAGGATGAAATGAATTGTTCTCTGTTTTTCGTGCATTTTATTTTGAATGTATGGTCTAGCGTTTGATTCCCCATGCATTCATGTTGGGCACTGGTACACGACGCTGTCCATTTTCTCGTTCGACCGTTTCCATCACGCTCATTGCCGGTAACCATGATGTGACACGTGTTGCACTCGCAACTACATTGCGATTGGGTTCTGCATCATATGCCTGCTCAAAGAAACAAAAAATATTAGAAATCTATTTCTTATTCGATTCGCGAAGAATTGTCCATTACCTTGCTTTCGACACCAAACATTTCGCACATCTCATGGACGAGTTGACGTTTTTCGCGATTCATCGTTGGAAATGAGTAGCTTCGAGACTTTTGTTTGCTTTCTTTTGCTAGTTTCACCAGTTTGGTGAGCTCATCATGAATCATTGTAACCAATTTTGGATCTTTTTTCGCCCAAACACGAACGAATTCCGAGTATTTGGGTTGCAGTTTCGATGGCAGATCGGGATTCCTAATTTGTAAACCGATTGCTAAACGTCGATTTCGTTCAGCCATACGACAATCTTCGTTGCATTCCAACGTTTTGTTATTGGTCATTTTGATCGGTCCCAAAACATCGCTCAGTTCAATGGTTCCACCATTTTGCATTTGTACCATGCTAGATGCCAGCTGTGCGGTAGCAATTTTACGGAAATCCGATGAGAATTCATGACATGTGCGGGGTTGCTTGCGAAGACCACATTGGCAGGAGACTTCGATGTTCTCACGGCAGGCAGTGTCTGGGCACGGTGTGTTCAAGTGACATGGTGCATTGCAGGCGTGTGGACACATCACACGTTGCTTGGTGCAGTTTTGTTTGCAAACATCAGTGTCTGTTTCGCATGAGCCAGCATGACAGATTTTAATGCATTTGTGGCGACCACATTTCAATGGTTTGTTGCATGGGAGACCGCAGCTGAAATCCTTTTGGCTACATGGGATTATGTTTCGTTGTTCATGACGACCGTGGCAAAATTTCTTTGTAAAGGCCATGCACGGTGGGCAACTTTGTGCTGAATGACCTAATGGGTGGAAAAGAAATGGATCAATTTCGCATTTTCATTGGCCAATTCCAGATTTGAAAGATCTCAAACGATGGAAAAATGTACGGAAAAATGTTTCTTACAGTTATGTGTGATTTCATGATCACATGCGTGTTGTCGCGAGCAGGGTTTATCGCAAGCCGGTCGTTTAGTACCACATGGAACCGGTGGGTAAATAACATTTGCACCACATTCACAGTATAATTCATCGAATGAGCTTCGATAGCAGGGCAAACAGCGACCCTTATGACAAGTTGATTCACACTTATGTTTGCCGCAGGATAACGTGTACGTGCATTTCATTGGGCATTCATGATCGATATCTGGAACAAAACGAATAATTCAGTTTGAAAAACAAAACGAACAAATAGATGAACAAAGAAAAAAAGTTGATTATCTAGTGGAAATAATCATGACTTCACTAAGCCTCAAACATACCAATGCAGCATTCGGTATTGCATTTATGTTTGCCGCAATTTCGTTTCTTGGTGCATTTTTTCTTGCACCGAGCATCATCGGCTCTGGTGGACAGCTGTGCACATTTGATCATTTGATCCATATGGCCGCATCGACATTTCACTGCCGTTTGTTTATTGCATGGTGGACATGGACCAAAATGGCATTTGCTAATGCATGTGTGCGGATTATTGGGCTGACCGCAAGTCAATCGTTTTTTGCAAGTGGATGTGCACAATGGGATTGGATCCATACAACTGGTTCGTTGCTCCTTATCAATTTGGGATTTTCCGCATGGGCACGTTTTAACAACATCTGGCAGTAGCTCGCAATCATTACACTCGCCGGCATGACACAACTCTTTGCACTTGTGATTGTTGCATTTTAGCTGCTTGTCACATACTTGGCCACACGAATAGTTCAGAGATTCTTTATTCTCTTTTGTGCATGGAACCGTACGCTTTTCACCCTTACAATAGCAAGTCTGCTCAATCTCTTCCGCACAATCGTCGCAGTTGCCTGCGTGACATGACTTTTCACATTTGTGTACCGAACAATTCAGATCTTTTCCGCATTGTTGATCACACTTGAATTCCACCTTTTGATTGCATTGGTACATTTTTGATGTTTTACCACAGCAACATTTACGCGTTACCATCACCTTTTTGTACGTGAAAAATACGAAGAAAAAAAAAACAAAAAATATAAATTGAAATAGGATATAATTGACAGGGATTTTAGAATAAGAAGTTTATCACGAGAAATAATGTAGGAAATGGAGCACTTCATCCAGCACAAACTCACCTGACACAGTGGACATGGACCAGGGTGACATAGCTGTGTGCATGGGTGCGAACAGTTTTCGGCTCGACCGCAAACATCGCCACAGCTATGGGCCATATCATTCCGATTGTACTGTGGATTTTTCACTTTGCCACAGAAGCAGAAATATTCGCGAGGTAAAGACTTGGTGATGTTCTGGCACGCGCAGCATCGCCATCCTTCTTCAGATTTGGAAGACTCTGCCCATTTCATGATGCAGTTCAAGTGCATTATATGATAGCAATTCAAACAAGACCATACTGAACTGAATGGCTTGATCATATCATAGCATACCAAACATTCGAGTCGACCAGCATCGATTTCTCGACTCAATTTTTCACGCTGCGAACAATTCACCGAATCAATTTTAACACCATTCCGATTCGGTTTCCCATCGTGTCGTTTGCGATCTTTCGGTTCAAACTTTTCGTTCTTTTTGTTTGTATTGGATTTGGAGCCATTGTCTACCTCACCGTTCGTCGTACTATTACCATTGCTCGGTTTCTCGTTCAAATGATTGTTGCTGCCTTTATTGTTGTAGCGATTCCGTTTTTTGTGATTCGTGGGTGAATCTTCTTTATGGCGAATCGAATCCTCTTCGTAATTCTCATTTTTTCCCCTGTAGTTCCGATTGCTGTCGTATTTCGTGGCTCGGCCACTATTTTGACGTGAATTTTCGTTTTTACGTCGACGATAATCATCGTATCGTTCCTGACGTTTACTGGTATATAGGTTGCCTATTGAAAATTAAGCATGTTTAGTATGACTTATCGAAATATCTCACATCAACTCACCGTTTGAATGTCGATCTCTTGAATCGTTGCGATAATCCTGACTGCGGACCTTTTTAATGGCTCCACCGCTACTGTTCAACGGTTTCGACGTACCTTTATTGCCATCGGAAATGTGTGTATTACTTAAAGCTTCTATCACGGAATCAGTTTTTGATGCGTTTTCATCAGTTGTTGTAGTAACCTTAGCTGCTATCCTGTCATTTTTATCCATATCACATGAGACAGTGTTCGATTGCTTGCTTTCGCTTGTGGGAGATTTATCAAAAATGGGTTGTGTGCGTGGCACAAATTCGCTGGCCGTCGCAAGTAACGTTGAACTGGGCATCGTACTGTGGTGTGACGTTTGTGGTACGAATTCGGATGCGGTCGCTGTTAAATTTGAACTTTGTAACCAATCTAAAGGCGGCCGAAATCCACCGCCGGTAGGTGATTCGGTGTGAGGTTGAAAATGGAATGGGGTATTCAAATTGTTTTGCTGATGAAACGATGTGTTGCTATTGTATGAGCTGGGACTTTGGAATCCATGGCTAGATTGTTGTTGTTGTTGTTGGCCACGCAACGGTGACCAATTGTTGATGTTGTGTTGCATGAGAAACTGATCAAAATTCACGTATTGATCGAAATAACCACCTTTGTTGCGATCGTTATTGTTAAAATTTGCCATATTGAATGTTGTATCAAGTGTGGCAGTTGGTTCTATGATATCTATGATATTGCCCGTTGTGTCACGACAATCACGGATGATGATCAACAGAATTTGTAAAATAAATTAAAATTCGGGCAATCGAAGGGACCGTTTCAAAATTTAATCACAATTTTGATATCGAACGGAAACGAAAAATAAATCAACTAAAAAAACGGTGCTGAAAAATGTGTGGCCCGAAGGCCGATGTGTGTGTGTGTGTGTCTGGCAATTGGCTTAAAAAACTTTTCACTGGCAACGTTGTTCAGAAATGACCTGCAAACAACAAATCAATAAATTGTTAGTATCTCATCATATAAATGCAATTAACGATAAATAGAGTTTCATCCGTTCGATTAGACTATTTTATTGGTTGAGTATTCGATAACAGTTTTTGCTTGTGCAATAAATTACAAAAAAGAAAGAATTTCACTATTTTACTCAATGCATTGAGGTTAGGTGAAAACTTTCTAAAATTGAACAAACAATATTTTTTCACATTTCTACGTGATTGAACGGAAAAACTTTGATTTTTTCTCAAACTTTGATTGGAAATATCCATTTTGGCATTGTTTTGACTAACCTTTTTGAACAGAAAATAAATTAAATTCGATGCGAAAAAATTGGAAAAGAAAAAAGACACACAGCTGAAATGAAGTTACCAAATGTCACCAGAAATAAAAAAAAAGAAGTCGATGTATACAAGTGAGTTGTTATTTTAGTACAGATACATGACAACCCGTCTGTTGTACTATTTATGAAATCGAATCGACTGAATTTCATAATTATTTGTTAGTGTTTCCAATGTTCAACTCGATGACTCATTTTTATTTATTTATCAAACGATAATGTTAATTATGATTTTAGAAAAATGTTACGGATTGTTGTTCAAATATAGTTATTGCTGAAAAATTGATAAACAATTTGAAACATTCTGTACTAAAATCGTTTTTATTTACAAATTCAACGGTTTTTCAGCATTCAAAATTAAATGTTTTTTTTTCTGAGACTCAGAAATCCTGGCTATTAAGATTGTTGCTTCACAAATCTTGGATATTTTCCAGTGAGCTGATGCCAATTAGTTTTTTCATACGATAAATCTCGTATAACCTTGCTGATTTGGCCGAGCGGTATACGAAGCTGCTCTTTTGTATCACGCTCACGTAGTGTGACTGTGTTTGGTATCTTCAGCGAATCAAAATCAATTGTTATGCTAAACGGAATTCCAATTTCATCACTTCGTACATAACGACGCCCAATTGAACCGCTAATATCATCAATTTTATGTGAAACATCTTCATTGACCAATTCGGAAGCTGAAAAACAATTAGAATAAATTATTCGAGGGCTTGTAATTTTTTTTATCGTCCAATTTGCTTGTTCTTCAATTTTTTCTTGATTTTCTTCACCTTTTCTAATTTTTTTTTGAATATTTTTTTCTTTCATTTTTTCCTCAAAAGGAATTCAAAACAAAAACTCACAGATTCGCTTAATAAACGGTTGAAATTCGTTTCGATTGCTCAACGGTAAAATGGAACACTTATGCGCTGCAATCGATGTGGGCAATGCAAAATATGAATTGGATTCACCATCGCGTTTACGAAAACTATGCTCGAGTACTGCATACAATATTCGACCGATTCCAAATGATGGTTCAATCACATTTGGTGTTATCTCTTCAACATGAACCAGTTTTGACACATTCTTCACTTCAATCGAAGATTTCTCCAATTTGATCGTTTTATTTTCTTCCAAATTTACTTCAAAAGACCTGAAAAAAACGAGGGAAATGTTTTAAAAATCTGTTGAAGAGTGCACTGGAATTAAGTTCATACCCTTTATCATTGATAGCCTCTAAAAGTGTCTTTTTCTGTTTTTGATTTAGTCCTTCCAAGTACTTGCCAAGCTGTTTCGACTTTTTGCTACTCAATTTCTTAATATATTCCCTTGTTGGTACAATATCAGCTATGACAACTTCTCGTGGTGCTGTAAGTCGTCTTTCGGCCGTTAAATTAACTCCAGATGCTTTGGAGTGTTGCTGTAAATCGTACGCAGATCGATCGGCACAGCCGACGCATTCGATCCATCCATGGCTCGTCAAGCACTCAGCATCCCAACAATTAACGGCATAATGAGCCATTTCATTAGCCATGTGCTGTCGGAACCGTAGGTAATTTGGTGATATTCCAACTCGGAGCAAAAACTGCTGAATCCTTGCCAAAAAATAGCCCAACGTCTCGTTTGCGACCAAACCCTTGATATATAGAAAAAAAGACCAAATAAATAGAAACAAGTTTCAAAATAAACCAAGTAGAAAAATAAATTTTTGATTTTGGTTCCAAACTACTTACCTTCTCTACTGCATCTCCAATTGAAATTTCGCTGGCACTCTCATTATTTTCTTGATTTTTAGCCGAATACAGAAGTAATTTTGTATCCTTGATATCACTAAATTTCGGATGGGTTTTTTCAGTAGGATCAAAGAAGTGCTCAATTTCTGCCATTGTAAATTCTCTAACTCGAAGTAGCCCTGATCGTGGTGCAATCTCGTTACGAAATGCATTGCCTATTTGTGCAGCAGCAAATGGCAACCTTCCCTGATTATACTCGAGCAAACGCTTGAAATTGACGAAAATTCCTTGGGCAGTCTCTGGACGGAGGTAGCTAGAGAACAATGAATTTGATATGAATGGCGTTTAAGGATTGATTCTTCTAAGAAAAGTAATATTCTAAGTATACCCTTTTATCAAGCTTGACGGTCCGACTTGAGTATCAAACATCAGATTGAACTCCACTGGATCAGTTAAGTCATTGCCAGTAAGTGGACTCTTCACACTAAACTTTTGGATCAGCTCCTTCAAATCACTCTTTGTTGCACTTTCCAGCTGAAAATTCATTAAAAATGAGTTAAAAGATGAATTTGATTTTCTGCATATGTTATTTTGCCTACCTTCGTAACAGTTTCATCATAAAGTCCTTTAAACTGTGGATTCTTCACTGTAAGCTGTTGCAAGTGTGATTTAATCAAATGGTCAACTCGGAAGCACTCGTTTGTAACAGTGTCTTTAACGAGATAATCCGTAAATCGGTCAATGTGACCAGAGGCTTTGAAAACCCGTTCAATCGTCATTGCTGGACAGTCGACTTCAAGCATTTGATCCTCTAAGACGAAAAATCGTCTCCACAAGTGAAGTAAATTGGTCTTCAATGCACATCCAATTGGTCCCAAATCATAAAAACCACTCGCACCACCGTAGATTTCATAGCTCTGATCATAAACAAATCGTCTTCTCACGAGAATCTCGAATTTTGTGCGATCAATTGAGAAGACCTAAATGGGAAGAATGAAATTCGAAGGCTTATTCTTCAATTTTGAAACATTTTTTGAAAAATCCAAACAAAATTGGAAGGAAAACTCACATCATGAGTTGATTGCCGCTCTGTCTCCAGCAACTTTTCCTTCCGCCGCAGTAGTTCATCGATTGCTGACTTTAATTCAGTTTCGGCTGTTCCATTTTCTTTCAGTCTCCTTACAAGATCTCCCTTAAATTGATAAATAGAGTCAGTTTTTACGCATTTTTATATTTTCTTATGGAATCTCACTTGCTCTTTGACCAATTGCTTCAGCGAGGCGATGTCTGTTTTTGAGGTTGGTGTGCTGTCATGTGAACTTTGTAGGCTCTCATTAGTAATGGCACGGAAAAATTGAGTGCTAACTGACCAGCATCGTAGTTGTTTCAACACATTCACATTTTTACATAATAATTGAAAACGAAACATAATTCCAATCGGCAATCACAATTGCATGTTTCAAAAAACCAAGTTGAAACTTACATATGTTTTGGATGTGATTGTCAATGTTGTAGATGTCGCTGTCGTCAACTTGAGGATACTTGGTGTTTTTTAGTACAAACGCATCAACTGTCATATACTGAGTTTGACAGCTCAATTGAAGTGTTGTTAAAGAAAAGAAATATAAATAAATACAACAAGCGCTTGATAAACGACTTTCGGCCCATGACATTGTGCTTTGGCCATAATTTTGTATTCTCCCTGCACCGAATCCCATCGAATTTGAAATTGACAACAATAAAACAGGAATCATGACAGAGCCGGTAAGAGAATTGGGACAGGGAACGTGTTGTTTGTGTTTGTCCGAAGATGAGTCTACGTTCCACTCGAATTCTATCATGAAATCGCTGCCGCTTCACGAAATGGTCAACTTTTGTATCGGCATCGAGGTAAATTACATTAGATTTATATCAATAATTGAATAAAATGAGTAATTGAATCGAATCATTACTTCCAGATCAATCCGGCCAATGAGCAAGAGCAAACATTTTCAACGTCAATATGCAACGAATGCGTGCTCAACATCAACAATTTCTACACATTCAAGAAGAAAGTGCTTGAGGCCCAGCAACTGATAAATACTCCAAGTGTGAAGGATCAACTGAACAACGAACATCCAGCGGAATATGTGGACGATGCATATCCAATGCACGTCTTCGACATCTCCGATGATATTCCACTGTCGGTAGAATCGAATCATGTAAATACGGTGGAAAATTCCGAACAAATCGAAGTTTATGAAGAAAAATCACCCAAAGCAAACACAATACAAATGACGCGATTGGTGAAAGTGGAAAACATCAAAAAGCGACCAAACGAACCAAGTAGTCAGAAAACATCGTATAAAAAGCCAAAAGTCCAACCCATGCCCACTGAAAAGATTACGATTCAAATGAATGAATGTTTGATTTGTCCGGCGATTCTGGCTGATATACTACAGCTAAAGGATCACATTGACGCACATGCAAACATAAAATGCAAAGCCTGCGGACGGCAATTTGCTCGGTACTCGAATTTAAAGCGACATTTCAACTCCACGCACAGCAAACCAAAACCCTTCCAATGCGATTTATGCGGCTTAGGATTTAATTTTTCCGTCAATTTGCAATCCCACGCAGCACTGCATTACACAGGGAAAGTTCGCAAAGAATGATAAAGATCGGCATGACGTTACTTATTTCAATACAATTTTCTAGCTTAAGAATAGGTTATAAAATGATTTGTTTTGAATAAATGACTGTGTAAGATTTAAATGGCATTTTGAAAACGAAAATTGTGTCGAATTTTGTTAACAGAATTTATTTCAATTTAAGGCGAATTTGATAAGGAAAGACATGAATACGGTCTATTCATGAATATTCATACGTCCGAACAATAAAACGATAATTATGTAGAATGGGTTTTAGCAGAAAAAAATTGATGAAATTAAACTGGTAATGTACTTGAGAGAGGACAAAGAGAAGGAAATGAGAAACAGATTACAATAAAACTTTATTCCGAATGGATCATGATCATGGTCGTGAAAATGCATTTTCATTCCATTTTAGAAATGGATTGAAAATCCTCTTAATGGATCTACAAATTGAAAATTAAATACATTTTCAGCTTCCAAAACCCTGTCAATCTTTAGGAAAAATTGTATCAATTTAGCAAGAAAGTGATTCTTTGAGTATTGCACACAGGCGATATCGAGTGAAAATCCATTAAAAATTTATAAGCCATCATTCGACTAATGTCCTCTTTCACCCATTCATTTTCAAGTTGTTCCCATTTTTCCTGCATCATTTTTTTTGTTCTCACATTCGCTTATTATCATTCTCATTCGCTGCCGGGAACATTGGGCTACTTTGTTGACAATCGAAAGCATTATTGATTGATGCAACAAACGTTTTTCTACCCATTCGGTCATAAGGAATTACGTAAGTGATACTAAAATCGATGGAAAAGCAATATTATATCTTGAGATGTACAGAAAATTTATTTTATTACAAAGGAAAAAAGAATCTCACGTTTTGTGTGTTACATTTTATATACATTGGCCTTAAATCCATCCAGCTTATCATTTTTTTTACGACTTTGGTATTAAAGTTGATGTTCATGGTGTGCGAACCATTAGCGTCATCAACAGAATATATTCAATTTATTGAGGTGAAATTTATGATGAGTCACAAAGTTCGATGAGAGCAAAATCAAATTAAACCTAAGAGCGTCGTACTACTTCATGTGTACTTAATTGCTAGTTCAACATTTTTTTTTCTCTTAAACTTTTATTTGAACACCATTTGGATATTAAATTCTCGAGCCACAATGATAATGTAAATTCATCATCATCATCAAAATTTTACCTATTCGATTCTGATATGGTTGCAGCCCACTTCATTGGCTCTGATTTTCGCACAATTTCCCTTTATAGCAATAATTTACATTTTTTTCCCCCTAAAAACATGTTCTAGCCCTAATCATAAGTTCTCGTTCTGTAATGCTGTCTCTCATCCGAAACGCGAATTTGAGGCATTTCGTCTAGATATTAAATAATAAGAAATTGTCAGAAAAAAATAGTTAACAAAAGTCAAATAAACTCAAAAAAACGTTGTATTATTGTCATCGGCCGAGCTAATTCTGTTCATCAGACATTTCGGAACAATCCGGATCAAACTTATGCAAATGCTTGCGCCAAATTTTGATCAATCCATCAAACGCTCGTCGACTGTACTTTTGGTTCATGTCTGGTGTTTTTGGATGATTTTCCGCTCGTTGATCACTGAAATATGCAAAGTGAATCGATTTTATTCTGATGTGACCATTGCTCATATTGATTGGTCATTGACCAATCAAATAAACACAAAATGTGTCAAAATAACCTACATTGCCACTTGTTTTGTATACAATTCATATCCGATGGTATTTTTGCCATAATCAATTTGCTTTTGACGTCTGGCCAAAACACCTTCATCCGTTTCCCGCTCCTTTTGCATTTTTTTCACACTCTGCCATCGTTGTTGGCACATAAGTTTCAGTTGATTGTGATCGGTTGAGCAATTTGAATCCGTGCAGCATGTACTGGATGATGTGCCGCATGAATCAACTGATGTTCGTCGATGGACTGCCAGTTTCACCTTTCGTTTTCGTAACTCATCTTCGAGATCTTTGACGTTGTGCCATTTTTGGCAAGTTTCATTGTCACTTGACATATCGGAAATTTGGCCCGAATCCACCGAATGTGAAATACTGTGGCGTTTCACATTTGATCGTATGTAATTTGTCATTGTGTCGTCGCTCAAAACTGTCGACATGGAATTTGATCGGCTCTGAACAAACATCAAAAACAATCAAATAGACAACAGAAAAAACACATGACACATGATTAGATGATTCTAACCAAACTTACCATCAACTGCTTTTCAGATTCATCAATCTGCTCAAACCACGACTTTGGTACGATAGCCGGTTTGATCTGTAATGATTTCTTTACCATATCCGCATAAGAAAGTGTCATCGCTTTGGAACCATCCATCTGCCGTGGGAAAATGCACAAAAATAAAAGTGAAAATATGGAGAAAAAAAAACCAACCGAAAAAACTGCAATGTGTCACATGAAAACAAGGAGAAAAACGTCTCCGTTTAACAAAACGATACCTTATTATTCTGTGTGAGATTTTTTTTCTGTTTCGCTGATCAAAATATGTACTTTTTTATTACTTTAATCGTCTTGATTCGATAAAAATCACTAGCATTTATTCAAAAAACTGGATTTGGTACAATTTTTTTTTTACAATAAACCCATACTTTGGATAGAAAGAATAAATTTTTCGAACACACGGTAATGCGGTCTTTTCCAGTGCGTGACATTGAGTGTGAAAATATGACAAACGTTTGATTCATAACGGAGCCCGCCACAATGCACTGATTCGAACAGTCAATCAATAGGGGCGCGTTCACAAATCAGACAAATGCGTCGAATATTGTGCGTGTGTGTATTTGATGCACCAATACGAATGACAAATTCAAATGAAATTATCACTGATGACAAAAACGAATGTTGACTTTGCTTCTTTGTTTTTTTTTTTTGATATCATATTTTTATTTAAGAATAAATTGCATTTTTTTCTGATGAACGAAATCCGCTTGTTTTCCGAAGTTATGGGTTGCAATGCATAAATATTTACTCAATGTAATAATTGCTCTGGTTTTGTTACCCGATGTTGCGAAATTCCAGCCATAATACATTTACAAAACTTTTTTTGTTTATGTACAAATGATACACTTGAGCCAAAGGCATTGTGTTACCAGCCTGAATATAACCACCTCTTCATAATGATGAGCATGCATCCGAACATAGAGACAATGGGTTTTATTGAAATTTTAATCGAAAAATGGAAAGTGTGACTTCTTCAAAGTTTGCCGATAATTATCTGCAATCACGTCAATTATCTGTCATGCAATCACGGATGTAAAATTGATCCGATTGAAACTTTTACCCAACCAACGAATTTGTATGGCAACCAACTCTGTTCACACATCAAGTGATTGAGCAATTTTCTGGAAAACTTTCAGTCAATTTGTAGTTTTGCGACGCCACTATATCGGCCACAAACCTGATCAGTTTAAAACTTTCTCCGCCATTAGCTAAGTTGTTAAGAGTATACATGCCCAGCACTCGAAGCTCATTTGATGTATGCCAATGCTGTTTCCATGCAAGAGCGAGAGGGAGTTTGATCAATCTGAAATTGAAGCCGTTCTGTAATAAATGGGCAATTTAAATGCAAATTATACCATCGAATGCACTCAGCAAAACTTATTTTTAATAGGTAATTTCCGCTTCTTCTTCTTCTTTTTATTCACCAAACAAAATTCAATTTTACGTTCTAAATGTGCTCATTTATCATGAGAAGCCGCATAAATTTTGCTGGTTCTCCAAAAAAGTTTTCCGTACACAAGGATACGGCAATTAGTTGCTTTTGAAATGTTTATTTTGGTGCTTAAATACACTTTCTGTTCAGATCAAAACGGTAATTGGCTCCTAAGCTCCCATGAGCTGAACATTCATTGTGGAAAAATATCTTTTATATAGCTTCTATCGGATGAACTTCTTAAATTTTAAGCGTCTCTTGTCATTTGTTCATTTATTGCCTATCAAAATCGAAATTTTCTCTTTAACGGGTGAGACTTGAATTTTTCCATCTTCATCATATTTCCACTTAATTATGTCATATCAGTACTGAGATTAGTTCGTTTTCTGGATATTTAACCTATTTATAACGTATATGTATAGCAAGAGCAGACACTTTTTTACGAACTAGGCTTGACCAAGCATCAGATTCATCATATAAAAAAACGAATTCGTTCATTCACTCTGAATTATATCTTAATTTGTACGTTAGTCTTTGTGTAATTCAATGGCAGTTACGGCAATTTGGATGGCATTTTTTGGTCGGGAAACTACAGCCACATCCTCCACTCGTATCACCACGTCCCTTTGGACCCCAACGGCTCATTTTCATTGCCCAGCACAGCTCCGTTTTACACATTGAACATATCAAATAGTCACAGCCTTCGCGTTTCATAATCACGATCTGAAAGACGAATGAAAATTCAAAGCAGCGTCATAATTAACGAATCAAAATCGAATCGAAAATGAATGTTTTTGAGAAGAAAAATGCGATAACAATCCATTGCGAAAGAAGGCTCATAAAAATGTATAAGTTACCTTGCACTTGGTGCATCTCATGCCCAGGTTTTTCTGCACGATTTCATCGAGGCACAGTTCGGATCGTTGATTATCGGTCATGCCGGCATATCGAAGTTCTTCTTGATATTCCTTGCAATTTTGACCCGTGTGGATGGCCTGTGTCATAGGAAAGGTTGTGTTGATTAAATATTAACTTCTAAATGATAAGTAGAGCCTCCAAAAATTGTTAAAGTGGTTGCCAGAAGAAGCCTTTTCTATCATTTGATTTGCTTCAAATTTGGCGTGTTTTTGTTGTTTGGCAAAAAAATGGGATTCTCAAAGTTGCATGGTGATTGATAGGACCTCAGTGTATTTTTGAGACGTTTAAAATAGCAATTTTAATCATTTTTGGAGGCTTCAATGATAAGTGTCTCATCAATATTTTTACTTTTGCAAATAATCATTTAAAAATGTCAACAAGAACCAGAAAAAAAAACATCTATTTACCCGACAAACCAAGCAATTTTCCGATACGCATCGCGGACAAACGAATGTGTTGACCTCGTCGTCAACGATGCACCATCCCTCGCAGTTGGCCTTTTTGCAATGGTATGAATTCGGTGCTTGGCTCTCGGCAATGCGTAACCCTTTCACATTGTACTTATCAAACTCGGCTTGAGTCAACAGCGATCGAATTTCTCGATCTTGAATGGTACAATCGCACGCATTTGCGGGACACTTGATTTCGGCCTCTTCCGAATGGATAATTGTGTGTCGAACACAGTCAATGCAAAATTGATGCAAACATTCGCGAATGATGACACCATCGTGGTTTTCGATGTCGGTCATACAAATTTCACATTCAAACGGATCGGTGTTGTAAATGAGACCTTGTTGCTCCAGATCCAAGAGCTCTTTGTACAGTTTTTCGTTGATTTCGGGCTCGGCCAAAATGTACTTGTTTATGTGACGTTCATATTCGGCTTGTGTGAGCAACGAGCGTATTTCGCGATCTTCTAAAAAGCATTCACAATCAACGGCCGGACACTGAATCTCAATGTGAGCGGAAGCAATGATAAATTTTCTTACGCAATCGATGCACAATTGATGCAAACATTCACGCACGAGAATACCGTCGTAAACGTCAATGAAACTGTCGCACATCAAGCAAAAAATGAATTCAATATTTCGAATCACACCGTCTTGTTCTTCCAGCTCTTGAAGTTGCTGGTACAAATCATTTTTAGCACCTTCGTTTGGTGCGGCAGCAGTCAAATCCACCGCTTCTGGTATTAGATCCACCACATCAGTGGTGCTGGTGGCGGAGGCAATCGGCAATGGGCTAGCTCCTCCTGCTGCTATTGAGCTTCTCGTTTGATAACGATGAGCAATCGATCGACGAACAACACTTGACATCTTTGTCTCAACGAATTTCACAACAATGGAAATAAATCTCGACGAAACAAATAATATTTTAAACTTTACAAGCGGTTTCTTTTAGTCACTTATACAAAACAAAAACAAAAATTATTGTGAGTGAATAGTTGTTTTTTTTTCTCGTCAAGTCGAACACAATGTTTGACGTTTGCTAATCTCTCGTTCGTATTGCGAATCTACGTCTCTAATAGACACTCTGTTTACTCGAGATTCATGCGGCGAAACTTATTCTACTGCGCACACAATCATACATCACACTCGTTCGACGCACACACTAGCATCTATCGGTTTCAGATACGGTTGTTTGTGCTCAATGTGTGTGTGTGTGCACTTTTGCCAATTCCGAATACATTCTCTTCGTTTTGTTCTTTCGTTCTTTGCTTTCGTTCGGTTTTTCGCCTACCTACACAAAACTGAAGGGAATTTCGTTACACATTCAATACATTCAAAATTGAAATGTCATCGTAAAGCCAGAAACTCACAACACTTTGCTGTTTTTGAAGAATATATTCTCAGGGAGATTTTTCGGAGGTAAAATATACTGCAATAAAAATTCGTTCCACATGAATATGACCGAAACACATGAAAAACAGTTTTTTTTTTCTTCTCCGTGTTGCCACTTCAGTTTACTTCGAAGCAAATACCGATGCCATTCAAAAACAACAACAACGGTTTACCGTTCAACAACGTGCATGACTTTCTTCTGAGAATATGAAAATTAAGTGCGTTCCCCATGGAACAACACAAATGAACTCATCCAGATTTTTGTATGCCTAATATTCGATCGAAGAATGTGCCGGAGCCATGTTAACTGTAAATTTATTGCACTGGCCAATATTGAACATTGGTTCGGTATTCTGGTTCGGTACTGTCCAATTAATTTTATCTCATGACATGCTTTATATTGTAAGAGCAACAGCAGCTATGAACTATTCCTCTTTTTATACTGTACTAATGAAAATGTGGTAAAATATTTCCGTTTTAATGAAGAGACTCTTCACATAAGTATCATGTGCTTACCAATGAAATGAACGTTCTCTTGCGAAAATAAACATCCTGTAAAATATGAGCCATGTTTAAAAATTCCTCAAAGTTCTTGTTTTATAAGGTGTGTATACCGTATCGTTGTTTACATACCTCATCTTTTTGAAGAATAAGTATGTTTTTTTCAGCATTTTATTTATCGGTCATAAAACTGAACACTGAAGTGGGTCTGTAGCGAATTGTTACCTCAGAAAGTTGACAATTGAAAGACGGTTGTAAGACGTTTAAATTTGATGCTCACTTTTAAATAAATCATTCTTACAACAGAATTGGCCTCTCACGGTCGGAGAATGATGTTACTTGACCTTGGCAAGAACAATTAAATTAGGCTTCTGCGTGGGCTTCTCAAAGCGTAAATCGGATTATTCGGCAGCAGATGAATTAATAATTGCAAAGACCCATCAAATGTACTTACCCTTAAAATAGCTTAAATATCTGATGAATTCAAGTCCAAGTGTTCAATTTCATTTATTCAAACGGCAAATGTCTCATCTATTTTTGGCCAAAAATGCACGGGCCTTTAAAGACAATTGTCAAATCTATTGCTCGTACTTACCTTCAAATTGTAAATGAATCTCATTTTTCATCTTCAAATAGACGATTACCTGGGCAATCTTCTTAAAATAAATTCGACGTCGAAATAAAAACCGATCAAGTCATAATGTATCCGAAGAAAAATGATTCCGATTGACTTTATTTTGGTGTGATTTTGGTTTCATTTTTTAATTAACTTAATGCCTAACATTTTCTTTACACAATGCTGAATTCTTATAATGAAAGTAGTACAATTATTTACAATCTTACAATTTTCTAAATAACGGTGAATGTGAATTTTGAGTCATGATTTCATTTTATTTGTGAATTACTGTTTTTTTTTGCTAAATAAATGGCAAGCATTAAAATTGTATACAACATTCACTTTGATTTTTTTCTCTCGATTATTTGCACACTCTTGTCATATTAAAACAGTCGAATATAGCCACCGAAAATTACTTGAGTAAATGTGTGTCATTAGTCTTATCAAATTGTCTACAATGTGGCTGTAGTTGTAATAAGTCATACTTCTGCTTTATCCACCGCGTTGATTAATTAAACTGATTGCTGGTGCTGTTGCAATAAAGAGAGAATTGCCTTGTCTGAGATTTCGGTTTGTTCATCGCGCTTCTCTCAATATCGTCCATCAAAACACAATTTATTTTATGACGATGCGAGTGAGAGACATTTTCATTTTCATCTGTTATAATTCGTGAACATTTAATAATAAAACTTCTTATAGAATAAAAGTGTGACAATTGGCGCACGTTATATAAGAACGTTAAATATTGTCTACTAATGAAAATTTTATTATTTATGACAGAGTGTGTAGAACTTTGTTTTCCTTTTTATATGCACATCTTTCGCTTTTTTACTTGTTGTCTACTTAAATATTAAGTTTTTCATAAAATTTCCTCCGTGTAAATGTGTGTTTTCCTCCGTTTTCATCTCAATTTCTTTGCTCGGGTGTTTGTTTGACACGAACTTTCTTTACTCACGAAACTTTCTTCTTCGTGGCGGATTATTGCTTCGTGATACACACGCATTTTCTGCGTTTTGCGCTTTATTATGATGCTACATTTGCACCATCTTCAATTATGGATTTTATGTATTCGAGTGAAAAAAAATTTTAATGGCAAGTTCTCGTTGTAATTTTTACGATGGACGAGGGTGGCGGTGGTGGTGGTGGTATAAACAGATTTTCAATCGTACACACTTGATCCTCAATTTCGACAAGTGGCTCTTTGGGATATTTAAAACTGCTCTCCGTGCCGGCAACCGATTGCATATCCAGGCTTGTTTCCATTTCAATCGAAATATCTGATTTTTTAAGAAAACAGAGAGGAAGAAGGGGAAGAGAGAGAGAGAGAGAAAATAAAAGAGCGAAAAAAATATTAGTGGAAATTAATTTAAAAATTCATTTCGACTCTCAGCCACACCACTTCAGCTTGAAATTATGAATTAATATGATATAAATATACATAAAAGTGCATACCGCGTTTTTTATCAGTAGCGCACACGGAATTCTGCCGATTGTGTCGTTTACGTCCAGCAAAGCAAACAACCGTAATAAATATACCCAGGGAAATTAATATAAAAAACACGCCACCGAGAAATGCTAGCACATTTAAATTACCTGTAACAAACGAAAAAAAAAACGTTATATGTATAAAATTAAAAATGAAAATCGAGCAAACAGCCGTAAGACTTTTATACGTATACAGCGAGAGAAAGAAAGAGAAAGAGGGAGGGAAAAAAATGATTTTTTTTATTTTGAAAATTTATGGTTAATTGCAGTCATATCGTTAAACGCTGTAATTTTTTTACTGCTACTGCTGCTGGTGCTGCTGGTGCTGCTGTTCCTCGAAGGTGTTTATGCTTTGTTGGAGAGAGCGCTGACGCTCGCACACAATTAAATGGTAATGAGTTTAGAATAGGGCAAGTAAACAAGAGTAGTCGTAGAAAGGACAATTGCCACATTATTCATAATAATGATGGTGTTTCATGTTAAAGTGTAAGGTGAATAGTTACCGCGCGTGAGAAAGTTGTGCGATGTGCTGGCCGCATCGAATGTTTCATCGTGTAATGATTCGGCTGCCGTGCACACGTCCAGCGAACCAATGGTCAAATCGGATATTTGAATGCCTCTTAGAGACTCGGGCAGAAAGCAAATCGGATGCAAACTCCATCGAAGCTACAAGAGCAAAAGAAAAACAAACAAACATAAACGAAAATGCATTTATTGACCAAACAAAAACAATATTTTCGGCTTAAAAACCAGCTTCAAATCCGGTGGTATATGGAGAATAAAAACAACAACAACAGTTCGAATTCGGGCTTACATTTTTAGCCATTTGGATGAGCGCACCCATATGGCATCGGTCACAAATAAGTGGATTATTTTCCAATCGCACTTCTTTGATTTTTTGCAGCATTACTGCCTGGCTATCTTCAATGCCATTTAACTGGTTCCGCGAAATATCCAGCAGCTGAAAAAAAACATTGAAATGGAAAAAAAACGTCGAATTGAAAATTCGAGTGAACTTTTTTTTTCGGGAGAAACTTTTTTTTCAAGCCTCCGCTCGCAAATAAATTCATAAATTGTGACAGTTTTATGGTTTGGGCTTTACTTACTTCGAGACCATCGACCGGTTGTAGAATTTGCATCGAAACATTCACCAAGTGATTGCCAGACAAGTTCAATGCTTTCAATTGTCCTAATGGCACCAATAATTCATACGGAATCACCCCCATATCGGCTATTGATAATGTCTTGAGATTATGCAATAGCTGTAATTGGACAGAAAACCGAGGGAAAAAAACGTGGAAACGAAAAACAAAGCATACAAATATTAATTCAGTCATTTTGGCACAAGTTGCAAATCCAAATGCGAATCCAATTCAATTCGATTCGATTTGGACATACTAAGCTATTAAATATCCATAAATGTGAATGGAAAGGGAAACAAAATATGGAGGAATTACTTGAAACGCTTCTCGTATGTCGTACAGATCCATTTGAATGTTCCCACTGATGTTGAGCGTGTGCAATTTTCTCAGCGGCTCCACACTGGCTGACTCTAATTTTACTAACTTATTATAGGACAAATCCAGATATGTTAAATTCGATAGGTTTACGAATGCACCATTTGTTACTTTGGCCAGTCGATTCCGTGATAAATCTGAAAAATGCCAACCACCGATGGCAGTAGGGCGAAGAGAGAAAGGAAGGGAGAGAGAGAAATGGAAAACGCACCAATGAAATATTGAAATTCACTTCCAATAGATGGATGCACGACGATAAGCAACAAATAAAAAACGAACGAGTAAACGAGAGGAACAAAGCCATTTAGAAAGGATTCGTGACAAGTGAACATTCTAATCTGTGAACAATGGGTGTACAGCCATCGTGTATACGTAAACAAATGCGAGTTTTTTCCGTCACCCAAAACGCACAGGATCGAGAAAAAAAAATCCGTTTACACAGCACCGTCCATCTGGTCGCATGGAAAAAGAGCATGTTTTCCCATTTCACACCAATAGCTATCAAATATGACCCACTATTATTTAACAAATTGTTCAGCTATCGACAAAGCATTTGCTTTTATTTTTGCCATTGATGGACATGGAAAAAATGCCATTCTTCATGATTTGTTTCGGTCGTTTCTCGGTGTTGAATGGGGAAAAATGAAGAAAAATTATTCGAATATTACCCAAATATGCCAAATATTTTTGCGTTTCGAATAAATTGTCAATGATCACAGACAATTGATTTCCGTCCAGCTTAATACTTTTGATGAGATTCAAGTCCCGGAATTCACCTTTTTCCAAGTATTTGAGCTATGCAAATGAAGAAACCGATCATATTAGTGAGAGAGAAAAATACGATTACATTAAAGAGAAAAGGAAAATCATGGCATTTTCTGCATTGTGACCATTCCAGCAATTACCTGATTGTCGCCTAGATCCAGAAACTCTAACCGCTGCAAGAGATTGTAAACTTGTGGGTTGATTTTCTTGATATTACAATTACGGCATTGCAGCTCTTTCAGTTCCTGTAATTCAGTTTATACATGTAGTCGAAAAAATTGAAAAGCAATATCGAATCGATGAATACATGGTAAATTGGCAATGCCAAAAAGGAAATTAGCACAAGAAATTTCTGTGCAATGTGAATGGAATGTGTGTGTGTGTATGTTTGAGAATGTTCGCTTTTACCAGTATATCCTTAAAAACATCCGGCGGCAAATCGTTCAATGGATTACCACTTAAACTCAAATATTTGAGTTTGCCAAGCATGTAAAATACGCGTGGCACCAATTCAACTATTAAGTTCTCAGCCAGATTCAGGCGTCTCAAATCCTACATTGTGTATTGACAACACGAACATTTAGCAAACAACCAGCCAAGAGGAAGAGAGAGAAAAAGAGGAAGAAAAACAACGACATGAAAAAGTTAGATCGAGTAGTTTGATCGTCGTTGCACAATCGGATCGAAATAGAAGTGCAAATGCAAGTACTCGTAACTTTTGCATCAATTCCATTTTTAGCTACCGTACCTTGAGATGTTGAAATGTCCAGCTGGCTATCTCTTGGATTTTATTGAATGATAAATCGAGCTCGTGCAATCCATCTTGACCACGAAAATTATTTGCTAAAATCGTACTAATGTTGTTTCTTGATAAATCTGCAAAAATGGAAATGGATTTGAGATCCATTTTTATCTGTCTTGTCAGAATTTTAACATTGATTGATGATCATACCTAATAGACGCAAGCTTTGCACACCCCAAAACGAATGCACACCAATCGATTGGATGTTCGCTTCATTAATTTGTAGGACTTCTAATTTGGTGAACGGTATAAAAATTGGACTTATTGTTAACGGATTTTTCGAACTGCTTATCACTAAAACTTGTATGCTTGGATCCAACGATTGTACTGGTATCGTTTTCAAACCCTCTGCGAATGAGAAAAAAAGGAAAAATTGTGCAGAATGTCAAAGAATCAAAAGAAAAAGTTGGTATTAATACAAAATTGGGTTAGAAAACTTACTGCAAATGATTTGTAGCCGGCCTTTCATGTCGGTGTTGCATGCACAGTCATCCGGGCACATTGTCAATCCGTAAGCTAATTGCAAAAGCGACAGCAGCATACAGCATTTTACCAACATTCTGGAAATACACAACGCGCAACACTTTCGGTTAGTTGTGACACATAAACGAGAGAATGAGAGATGATGTACTACGTGTGAGTGAACGAATTGAGAGAATGAAAGTTGACAGTTTGCCCTAAAAGTGAGCATCAAAGAGGGATAGGGAGGTGTAACATGAAAAATTAAAATCCATTCACAACCCCAAATACCAACGAATGCAAAAAGTTACTGAATATATTTTGGATTTTAGTGTTGACGATGCAAGGAGTCATTTCATGTGGCAACGCTTTTGCTATAGTTTTGGTTAACTAACAAAATTCGATTGTTACTTTGCAGCAAAATTACATTTTACGTTGTATGATATAACTTGTGTTTACACACACTTTACAAATTTTTCATGAGTTTCCAAGCTTTACCTTATTTATTTAGCCCGATTATGGATATGCTTGATAAAGGGTAAATTTGTCACAAATCCGATTTAAGTTGAAACATGAAATTGACCACAAAGTCACATTTTATTACATGAAACTCTTGTGTTTACTGTACGTGAATTATTTATGATTATGTTGTTGCTAAGCGTTTGTGATATACAAGAAATATTTGCTGAAGCTAAGAAAACTAATAACGAATACCTCTCGGTAATACCGAGCATGCATTCGGAACCTACGCAATGTACGTATATATTTTCAGTATACGTGTGCTAGCACTACACTGTATTATACGTTTGGCATCGAAGATTCCAGCTGAGTTATACTATACTATAATTGTCTATTATAATGATTCTTTTTCACAAGAAAAACAATTCGTCGCGTTACTTCTATTCACAAACGATGTATTTTTGGAATTCTAGCTGAATGTCATAATTGACGGCACATTAACAAACTTTTCGATTTACTGCTCATTATTTCAGTCGGACTATCATTTCCATATTTATACTTGGCGTGATATGAACTCGCAACAGGAATGAACTCTCCCCAAGCGGCAGTTCTGCATGCAGAAAGTGTTGATACGTGATTGAAAGGACTCAATCCGTCTCGGTTTGTTAGATGGAAAAATGAGGCAAAGCACGATAGAATCGATAAAAGTAACATTAGTTCTTTATGAATTCTTCTTCAAATATACAAAACTTTAATATTCAACACAGTGGGATATTGTAATACGTGTAATTAAAGTCCCATCGTTGTAAACCAAATAGAAATTGGAATGATTTGATTTTTTCTTTCTTTCAGCTTGATAAAATAAAACTGAATGTTCAGTAACCAGACTCTAGTTGTACTCACTTCAGGTGGCAAAATATTTGTTTCCGGTAATAGAAATGTATGGTTCGGGTCATCGCACGTGTATTAAAAGTCCGGTAATCTGGTGTCCAGATTATGTTTAATCTAAAATGTAAAAGAGCAAATAATGAGTTGAATTAAAGATTTTGTTCAAATATTCAATACAATATTTTCATATATGTGGCATTGCCCGCACTAAACCGTGTACAAAACCAAAATGGCATTTTGAGATGGCAATTGGCAATGCAACCGCAAAATAAATCAATATCATTCGGTTAAATTTGTTAAATGCATTCGAAACATTTTCCAATAAATGTTTCGTTCGCAGGAAAATACAATATTGAATTGATCAGTTTAATGCATTACTCAACGCCAATAAGCCAAACGGAAAAAAGCGCACGCACACACACACACACAACACACATACAGTGGTGTGGTGCGTTAAAATTCAGATTATTTACAACACAAATAGAGTGTAAAGATAATTGCAACTACATTGGTGAACCGAGTAAACATTGGGTGAAATGTACGTTGTGCAAAGCGAAATCCAAATGCACGGCACAGCCAGACTACGATTCATCCACTATATCGTCTAACTGACCAATTATGCAAAGATATGGTGATTGTATTTGCGCACCGCATACAAAGCAAATACCGATTGACCAAATAGAAAATGTTGAATGCACTTCGTATGGAACAATCCGCACCAACAAAAACGAGTTGAGTGTGAAAGAGAGCGAAGTCGAATGAGGAATGTAGCAGCCGGGAGGCGATAGAGAAGCAACGGAACGTTGTGTACAAAGTCTTTAATCATATTTATTCGCATATCCACAAGCATTTGTTCGGCGGAATCTCGGTGTGAGCAAAGCATCTGTGTGGTTTTTGGCATTTTCCATGTGCATGAAATAAATATGTATAGCATCCAATATCCAGTATGTGTGTGGTCAATACTTCGTAAACCAATTTGCGTCGTGCAAATATGAAAACGATTTTTTTTTTCGCCCCAGCGTTGCTAAACATACGAACGTCACATGCTTGCGCTTTGGAAATGATGATCCAATATGAGAGGTCTTTTTTCTCCCCATAAAGGGATATGGCGAGAGAGAGAGAGGGGGGAGGGAGATGGGCAGAAGGAAGAACAGAAAAATAGAGATAGTGTAACGTTTAATCAAATCTAGTTTTGGTGTCAGAAATCCATGTCTCTGCTTTTTAATTAAATGCTAAAGACCAAATTAGTCTCTTGTGCTGGCATTTTGCTTTGCGTTGAGGGAAAAATCGTGGCTCATATTTGACCGTTCATCCAATATTAAACCCCATCTAACGATGCATTGTTCTAATCTGGCGGCAAAAATACGAGCCATAAATACAAATGTGCAATCAATTAAAATCCAATAACGCTTCAATTCTAACGGGAATAAATTACTGAAAGGAACATCCAATCAAATTACACTGTATGATTTTCGACTAGGGAGACATGATAGCCAAATAATAATCATGTGTCTGTTGACAGAGTTTTGGTTTTGTTTGAATGTGAATAAAATTGTGTCATCGAGAGAAATTCTATAGAATTCTACCGTTTGCCAGTAGCAACAATCATTGATTCTACATATTTAGTTTGGAATATTCAAAAGCTTTGGGTAATATTCGTCGAAATTTAATCTGAATTTGGCCAGCGCATCAGTTCAAAACATTTGTAAATTTTAGTGGAAATGATTTGAATCATTTCAAGCCAAAGGAAAATTGACATTAAAATACAATTTTCCTACTGTTTTATCTGCATGTCATTTCCACGTTCATTCCCAATATGACACTCAAACGAACATTTAGTATGTTTTCCGCATGATGTTTCACAATGTTTCATCCAAATATATACTTCTATGAATTTTGGCATTTATTTTTTTCCGTCCAGATTTTCTATTTGTTTTTTTTTTTACTGTTGTCGTTGTTGTTGAGTGGTTGCTCGTTGAACAAAATCTAACTGCAATCATCTTAAACGCTCATGATGCATGACTTAATGTGTACTTTTCACTTCCGTTTTGATCTATGCCTATTTCCATTCGTTTCTATTCTTTTTTCCATTTTTTTCCACTTAGTTTAACGATTTTTTCATTTAGTATTTGTTTTTTTTCCTAGTTTCTTCTCTTCCTTTCGCTCACTTTTTGCTCCTGTTTTTGCTATTATTCTACGACATTATTTTCGTTTTATTTCATATTCGTCGTTGCTGGTATGTGTATGTGTGTTGATCCGTGGGCCCAGGCTTTAAATAACGACAGATCCGTTGGATAAATATTAAGTATGAAGAAATCTTAGCTGGTGTTTTATGTGATATTTTATCAACCCCAACTGTGTCATTAGATGCCAATGGTTTTGGTTTGGTTTGGTGTGTGTGCTTCTTGCAAGAGAACTTTTTTACATCTCGGCGCGGCTCTATCAAGGCGTAACGAGATCAACGAACAAGATAAAAGTAAGGCACTGTGTGTGTATATGTGCAAATGTGCTTCGTACGCTTCTGCTTCCATTCACTCGCAAATGTGCGCGCTTTTATTTGCTGCGTATTGTTTTAAATTGCTTCGAGCTGATGCTCACTTTAGAAAAAGGTTCACAATCCCAATGCGCCCAAAGACAACGTCAATCTACGTTGTTCAAGTAAGTATTTTGTTAATGCTTCAGCTCCTGCAATCCAGTTTTCCATATGCATGCGGTGACTTGATACGTATTTGATTTTGAGCTCCGGATTTTTTTTTTGTTTGGTTCGGTTTATATTTTGTCATTGTTGCGCATTTTTGCTGTTTTGAACAAATAAAAAAAAAGATGCGATTTTTTTTTCAATGGTTTCGATTGATCCATGCGTGTTGCTACCAATCCTTTTATTATCTATGGGGCTTATCTCGAGATAACATTTTTATTTGATTCGCTAAAGCGAATAAATTTGACGCTCTCTTTTCTCTGCATCTCCCTCTCTCTCTAGCACTCGTTCGCTTGCATGCTCGCTCGCTCGATGCCAGCTGTTTTCGTCTGTTTGCATCTTTTCGAATTTGTAATGGAAGCGAGCGCGTTTGGGCAAATCATATCTGGAAACGAACCCATTTTCGGTGTGAAATGCAATAAATCAGATTTAAGCCATGTATATGTCTGTGCCATTAGTACAATTTTTTTTCTCGCTCTTTCTCTGGCTCGCTTGCTCATCCTTTTGTGGCCACACACAAATAGTCATTAATCTAATGTCTCATCATATTTAGCTAGTACTTTAGCCTTGCTTGACTGGCTTTTAACTGGATAATGTCTGAATGTGTCTGCACATGAAATGCCTTTGCCAAGCCCACTGAGATAATTTGGTCATCGTCTTGTGTCAGATGGCCGTTGACTGGAGGAACGTGCATGCAACCCACTGACGCTCCAAAAGAAGAGAAAACCACAAAAAACAACATAAAACTCTCGAATCAATCTACTTTTGTGTTTTTTTTTCTCTGACGAGAAACGAAATTTTCATTTCATTCATCCCTTTGAAACCATACGATTGCATCAATAGTAATATACGAATGGCCGTGCATGAATCGGTATATTGCTTAATTCGTTTGAGCTGAAAATGTAGTTCGAAATTGCTCGTTACAAATTATCATTTGCCATTTACACTTTGAGTGATGGCACTTTATTCGATGCGCTGTTTTAATGGTCACTCCTCAAAGCACTTAAGCTACTACGCTTTTTTTTATTCGGATCATTCGTTATAATGATGATCATTTGGACACATATGAAAACTCTCGTATATTAAATCTGATGAAGCAGCCAGCCAAAGACGGAGACAGTAAAAGAACAAGAGAAAGACTGTGTGTGTGTGTATGTGAAAAAAATGTTGGATTGACAAAAGCCAAATTGAACGGAAGGAATCGTAAAAATGAAAAGTGAGGTTTTGCCAAAAATGATGAGATAAAAAAAATTATGTGCAAACAATATGTGTGAGTGTGCATTGTGTGACAGCGACAAGCTGTATGTATATATACTAACTCTGGCCAAACCATCGAGATGGAGTTTCTGTGTCTTAAGCGGTTGCGTGTGTCACTTCTACTCGGTAAAATGTATTTAATGAAATAAAAAGTTTCCTTTTTATCGCTTGCGTTAACGAGCACTTTCGACTGACACTGTTTAATGGTCGCCCATAATTCTTTATCCCGAAAATGTCTCTTTTTTATGCGCCCGCCAGTCGTCGTAGCCATGTGCATTTCGATGTGTGCCTATGAAGAAGAACTTTCAAATCCGACTATTAAATTTTTTTTGGTTCGGCTGCTGTTTTTGCTGTCAATTAATAAATATGAATTTAATTTTGATTAAAAATGACGCCAGCAGCCACGGAACAACAACGACTGCTTCATTTTTGTGTCAAGCATTTTATTAATTCAACTGGATGGGGTGCTTAATATGTGTGTGTGTGTGTGTGCCTTGTGCAAACCGCACAACACACATTTTATGAGACTTTAAGCTCACTCCACTCCTCCATAAATGCTCGAAAATAGGGCTGTGATTCAAACTCTTGCACAGAAAAATGATATTACCATTGTAATACTGTCTTTAAAGTTTTATGATTTATTTTCAGATAAATGCAATAAAACCAATATTACACAGCAATAGTAATAATAACCATTTTCCTAGATAGCATCTTTGTTGGTCATTGCCTGGCTAAAATTGTAGCATTCGACATAAGGAATAAATTGTATGAAATTCCGTATATAAATTCTTTATTGAAAAGCATTCAATGCGCATATCTTTTCGGATCGTTTCAAATATATATATTTTATCCATTTTCCGAACAGAATATTTCAAGCATTATAAATCCTATGATAAGATTTCGAAAATACGGTAGTAAATACGAAAATGGAACAGTATTATTTTGTAATGAGTCCAAACCATTAGTTGAGGCCAAAGTTGAAATAATATTTTGATGGATGAAGAAAATTTAAGTTGCCAACACACACAATGGTTTAACTGAAAATTACGATCTGTGACTTGTCATTTGCGTACAATTCTATTCAAAAACCGAAGAAAATGTTCGCTGCAACAATGCAGAATATTGTTCTAGTTGTAATTCTTAATTTTTCTCGTCCAAAAAC